GAGCAAATAAATCAGCTGAACAAAGTCGAACCAGAAATAAAACATTTGAAGACTGCGACGAAGCGGTCCATATAAAATAAAATCCATATGAATCGACACAAAAAGCAGTCAAAAAACTCTAATAAATAAGTCAAAAATAAGACACGCAGGTGATAAAAGTGTAGCGTCAATAATAAAAAAAGAGAAACTTCTTGAAAAAGATAAGTTTTAAGGAGATGTTGCTGATTCTGCAAGCCCTACATCCTGGGGCTGGAGCTCCAGCGCTGACAGCTCCGGTACATCAGACGTTTCCATTGTGATTCAAACAGCAAACCTCAGCAGGATCATAAACATTTTGTCTGGATCTGCATTACTTTGTTCTATTAAACCGTATCGTTGCCAGGAACTGTTTATATGCAAAGGCTACGAGGTGACATTTGATCTGCGTGCTCAAATTAACAGTAAAAACACATATATAAACGTGCATATGTGAGCCGACAAGAGGGCGAGCAAACGTGTCTTCACCTCGGCTACAGAACCTTGGCAGCGTCTGACTTTGCACTGGTCATTGCACTAAATTATGCTGTAATTATTCAGGTAAAAAATGACCACTGACACCTCACACACCCATTGGTCCTGTGGAGGAGCAGAGGAGGGAGTGTGTTTGTCATGATAGATGAGTTGGATCTCTCCCAGCGGGTTGTGAGGAGATGACATTCCCGCGCAGCGCTGGCCTCGGATCCCGGCTTCCTTCTTCTGGATGATGAGACTTTTGTGGGGAGGAGTCTGCAGGCTTCATTTACCGAAGCAGCGGGGAATAATATAGTGCCAGCGTTTGGATGTGTCAGGTCCCATATCTCTGGCTGTTCTATTAGAAATAGACCCCAGCGCGGGACAATTAACCCCTGGCCTCAGCAGCAGATCTGTGCAGTAACAGCCCAGCACGGGGCAATAAATCAAACCCAGAGGGAGAAACGCGGACTCCCTCCCCTCCCTGGTTGGCTGGCTACTATCACCCAATAGACCGAGATGGTAGATGTGCTCCGGTGTTATCGTGTAATCACTGGAGGTGGCGGTGATGTAATGGCTCGGCTGTATGCAAGGGCACCCTGAGTGTGTGTTTGTGCTGCAGTTCATCGCCTTGGATCAACCGCAACCTGTTAAGCCTGAACACACTTTCTCTGGTTGGCCGAGTTGAGCCCAAGTTTGTTAGCTGATGTCAGCATGTGGTTCAGAGTCCCATATGGCTGCGAGAGTGGCTTTAGTTGTTTTTTTTTTCTGTCTTTTTAAGTATAGTTTGGGGCTTTTTTATGTCTTTGTTGTGAAGTTTTCAGAGGAGCTCCTGGCAGGAAATTAGGGGAAAAAAAGTGACTGACATCTAACAAAGAACACAAAGCTGTGACCTTCACAGTCAGTGCCTTAACCCTCCTTAAATGTGTTTTTTAATCACACATTTACCTGTTTAAATCACGTAATTGGGAAGCGTGATTCATTTTTAACCCTCCAAACCCCAATAGTTTCATATAAAGTGCCACATAAAGTCCTCTATGGAAACAGAACAACCACGACTAGAAGGAGAGAGAACTCAGGAATGTGTTTTGTGCAGCATAAGAACGTTCTAATAAACCACAAAAACAGAAAAATTGTGAGTCGATTTTCTTATTTTACAAAAATTTAATTTGAAAAAAATGTGGAATCGACATGTACAGTGTTTCTCCTACAGGTGTTACCAGTACAGGAGGAATAAAATGACTCTCCGTGCTGTAGATATTTTACTACTTTCATTTTCATATCTGCTCCGTGCAGCCTGAAGTTCAGCCTCGTTCAACTGCAAAGGTCCTGAATTTTTATCATGTGGCTGCTGGTCACCACTGAGCCACTCAAAGCTTCACAGTTGCGCCACAGAGTGCAGAATTATTTGTCTTTAAAGAATCTGGTTCATGCAGAGCATTAATTTTTTTTAAGCAATTTTGTAAATGTGACATGTTAAAGAAAGGATTTTGTGAGAACGAATTGATGCTTTTAGGTGTAGATTTTTCTAAAGAAATGGCACATCACATTAGGTTAGTTCAGGGACTGTTTAAAAGTGGTAAATCTGACAATTGTTTCTGTTTTTAAAGCTGTTCGCTCTGATAAATGATTTTTTTTTTTTTTCGGTTCAGAGGGCTCATTGTATTCTATTTTCAGAGTTCAATTTATTTAACACATCACAACCGCAAAGCTCCACATGTTGAATTTTTTTTAAACTGAGGTATTTAAGAAAAATCTTTAGTATTTGATATCATCCGTTATTGTCACAATGACTCAAAAAGATGACAAATGCTTCAAATACTTTGCCTGTAAAACCGATCCAGCAGCCGCAGTAACCTGTTAATGACTCTAAACTGCAGCTATCTGATACCTCAGTAGTAAAAATGAGAATTATGAATCCTCAGTACAGTGAGGCAGGCTGTGTTTTTGTCTGCAGCCTGTCATATTGAGACCATTTGTTTAATGGCAGATTAGAGAAAAGAATGAGCGGCAATAAAGCTGCAGACCACGGGGGTCACCTTCAGGACCTGCTCGTGGTTATTCCTATCATTAGCATGCCGCGTCTCGTGCTGTCCTGCTCCAATTATTACTGACACAGGCTCTGGTCTTATGACTGAGCTGTTCAAACTGCCCACCGTTAGACTGTAATTCTCACACCGATGGACTAATGTGAAATATGGCAACAGATGCAGGGAGCAACGGCTGAAGCACATTATTCAGGACCCAAGGGCCATTAAAGCCATGGCTATTAAATATAATTCGAAAAAATTAGCTTTTTGGCGCACGGAATAGCAGGTTGTGAGGTATTATAATAATCACTACATTCCCCAGAGTGTCTGCTTTCCCCAAATGTTATTACTATTTGTATATGCCTTTGTGAATAGGCTTTAGGATATGTCGGCTTGTTCGCGCATGCTTTATGGAAGGGGTAATTGTCCTCAGATGCAGGGGCAATTATTGCTTTGTTTACTTTTGTATGTGTCCAAAGTAATTATAGGTTGTGTCAGTTACATGTGATATTGAATCAGTTGGCATTAGGACTGCAACTAGTGATTGTTTCCTCTGTTGATTAATCTTTAGATTATTTTCTCGAACAATCGATAAGTTGTTGGGTCTATAAAATGTTAGAAAATGGTAAAAAAAGGTGTTTTTCCAAAGCCCAAGATGACAAATGTCTTGTTTTGTCCACAAAGATGTTCAGTTTAGTGTCGAAGAGGAGAAAAGAAACCAGAAAATATTCACATTTAGAGAATTTACACTTTTTCTCTTTAACAATGACTCAAACGTATTATCAAAACAGTTGGCAAAAACTTTAAAAGTTGACATTTAATCGCTGCAGCTTTAGTTTGCATTTCGCTGTTCAAACCAGGCTGATTATAATAGTTACTGCTAGTATCTGGTCATTACTGACACTGTTGAAAGCCTTTTTATGTTCCTCTGGACTGAGAATGTTACTGCAAATGGTTGTTTGTGCAGCTCCTCTAGTTGAATCACTGCTTGATTGTTTGGTCACCTTGTGGCAACGCGGTGCAAGTCGTTTTACCATTCAGATTAAAGTATCTCTGCAATTGTGGAAAGTGTGGAAAATCCGTCGGCCACAATTCGCCTTCAGTGTTTACTTTCGGGGTTATTATGTTAATCCATAACACCGCAGTTATTGCTGCAGCTCCGGTCCAGCTTTTCATACCGACGCTGAGCCACATCAGACCTGCGGTCGCGTAAACGGCAACGTGAGGTCACGTCTCCGGTCTGAAGGGCCAGAGGGCCGCTCGGTGTGGTTTCGGTTCGCATTTCGTTGTGGCTGGCAGCTGAAGCTGGTGTCTTGTTCAAGTGCACATTAAATGTGGGAGGACGACCTCTCCATTCTGTGACTGCTCTTCCAGTTAGTTTTTTTTTCAAAGGAAGAAGTCTGGAAAGAAATTTAGAAAACAGGTCACAAAATAAAAATGATCTAAGGCTCTGGTTTATGTTGGCTGTGGCGCTAAAACAATAACTCAGTATTCTCTGGTTAAATGGGGCTATTTTCTGGTTTTCTTCCAGGATAGTGAATGAACCGGTGCATCTGGACGGTTGATCAGACGATAAGAACAATTATAACTAGAAAATAATCAACATGTTAGCTTATTCTCTTCTTTAATTTGTCCCAGTCCAGCCCTGCCTCTTAAAATCCGCCTTCCTATGCAACTAAACTGCATTCTGAACAATATTTTGAGAAGAACACATCTTTGACATTTATTTTATTGCTCTACTGTCTCTGCCTTTCAGCCATCCCAACATATATTTCAGACGGGGCAGGACTCATCACCCTGGAAACCCAGAAAATGGAAGAAAAGCTTCAAACGTGTTGTGAAAGGGTCATGTTTTAACCCAAACTCTGATGCTTTCCTAACAGACTCCTGCACACCGTCTGCATTTACTGGTGCAACATTTCGGTGCTACACTTTTTTTCAGGCAAATCAAAATTTTGTTCCAGTAAATGCATCTTTGCAAGTTGGACAGTGTGCTGGAGTCTGTTTGAATCTCTTGGATATGCTTGACCCTCTCCTACGCACCTGCCTCGTGTAATAGATGTGTGAAGAGTCTCTTTGGTATTTTTCTAACCCTAGCCGAGCTGTTTTAGCGCCTAAACCTAACCAAGCTTCTAGCAAGTAGTCTTTGTTGTGAAAAAGTCAACCAAAGTGTGACCTCGTGTACTTTGGGAGTCAGTGAGTGAAAACAATAATGATTCCACACGAGACGCGTCGCCTTAATCCTCCCTTCCTGCCTCCTTGTTTGGACTTTACTACGATGTCGCATTCTAGAAAACACGTTTCAAAATGGAATTATGTTTCTGTCAAAATGTAAATGACGCAGTCCACTTTGGTAGAAATGTAATTTCAGGGAGACGGTGTTGCTCCGTCCTTTGAGGTAAATCTGCCTTCTTATACTGTGAACCAAGGATTTGCTTTCTGCCATTAATGACGGCTGTTTTATTTCTCTCCTCGTCGTAGCTGCTGGCTGCACGTTCGAAGAGGATTCAGACCCTAATCTGTGCGACTTCACCCAGGGGGAGGAGGATGACTTCGACTGGCTGTTGTTCCGGACGTACAGTCCTTCTGCCAGCTCTGACCTTCTGAAGGGTGAGTACTCCTCTGTACCTGGCTGCTTTTCTTTTTCAGACCACAGCCATTTTAGTCTGTCTATTAGTATGCTTTGGTTGATCAGGAGCTTAGCTTGCTATAAATCTTCCCCTGAAACACAGCGAGTGAGAGTTCACAGGGCACAGGACCAGAAGCTATTTTTGAGCCATATCAGCAGCTGCTGTTTGCCTCTGGCTCTTTTTAAATTGTCTTTAAGTCTGAGAATCGCGGCGACTTCTGTTTGTATCGATGTGACCAGAATATCAGAAAAGTGACACTGTGTGCAAATCAGCTTTTCTACATGTCCAGTGTCCATTATGCATCAGCTTTAATGAAGCACTCACCCCAGTTTTGTCTGCTGCCTGCTAACCCTTAGGATAATTTTATGATAACCAGCCTCACAGGACTAATGGAAACCAGCATTTTCCTGCCATCATCCTCTCTACTGGTGGTTGCCAGAGGGAAATGGCATGCATAGTTTATAAGGCGCTCCTCCATCTCTGCATTAACAAATACCTACAGGGATCTGACAAAGAGAAGAGTTCTGTTTCAGCTTCTCAGCAGAAATATCCACGGCTGCAGTGGGCTCTCTCTGCTAAAATACTTCTGCTCTGGAAACTTGCAGTATAATTAAGGAATTGACCTCCCTCGGGTACAACCAATCAATCAGTCTATGATATGGTAATGAGAATTCAACAAATCCATGACAAAAAACATGCCTTTAAGTGCTCATTGTAGGAGACGGAGAGAGAGAGCGAGCGAGGCCTTGCATGCTCAGTAGTGGCAACAGTGTTATACAAGCTCAGAAGAAAAGACTGACAACATTTGACAGCAGAAGAGGCAGTTAATGTGGTAGACACAAAGAGAAATAAGCTACAAGGAACAGATGGAAAGATGACAAGACGGGATACAAACAGATACGTTGCATCATCTGAAAGGAAATGAATGCAGGCCTCAGGGAACATTCTGTCCGTTTTGAAACTATCGACTTAAGTAGCCTTTTGAAAAATCCTGCAAGGGTAAATCAAATTTTGATTTGTAGCACTAAAATCCCTCCTTGACTGCAGGTGGTTATCCAAATACAATTCTGAACTTGATACACGCCGCATTTAATCCTAGAACCACACCCCGCTCACCTCCACATCATCATCAGCATTCGAGTGAGAATCCGCCCGCAGCCACCAGCCAAATTCACGGCAGGCGATGAGATAATTAATACTTTTCCCTTCGGGTTTAATTAAAACTTACTGCCATGGCATTTATAGCAGTCGGTGAAAACACACCAGGACAGGTGGAATGAGGCAGGTAACTGTAACCCGCGCATGACGAGACGACGCGAGAGGCTCCGAGCGCCGATCGATCGCTCCTGAGGACCAGGAGACAAATTGAGTTTAATTTATTACCCGCTCATCCTTCAGCCGTGCACCAGAAACAGCGTATTACTCATGTTCTTCATCTGATTGTTGTCACTGTATACTGACAGCGGTGTTCTTTTGTTGGAGACAGGTTGACATTTACACTGTGTTATTTAAGGTGGGTAACCTCACTGCACAGGAAGTTTTTCCCCTTTTCCACCCTTCTCCCTGACTTAATCCCTCTGTGTTGACTTCTAACCATGTATCACATCGGGCAGCCAAGGTGGGGGGATAACAAGAGTTTATGAGATAAGGCTATTTACATTGGACCAGTATTAACTTTGTGGGGCTGAGAAATTGGTGTCGAGGGAAGATTAGTAAACACAGCTGAGATAGCAGCAGCTTGTGGCTCCCAGGAGAAATTAGAGACTACCGCTCCCATGAAAGAGAAAATAGTCTTGGAGGAAAAAAAAAGGAAAACGAAAAGATAGAATGCAGTGAGATCTTAATAAGAATGGCCCATTTTTATCACACCCCGCTTTATTTTGAATTGAATTGGCGATGTATGCTTGATATTGATAATCCTCGCTCCTCCGGCTGTTTTAATGAATGAGGCGGGCGTGCAGGACGATGACCTTGTAAAGAGGAATGTGTTTGCATGTCAAACGCACCTCATTTTCTGAAAGGCAGATTCATTAGCTTGAAAAGTTATGGGTCCGCCGCAATATCCATTATGGTGTATCAGTGTCGCCTTAAGGTAAAAATCCATTAAATATGGTTAAAACAGCTAATGGTGATGTATCTTGCTTTCTTTGCTCACCTTGTTGGCTGAAGTGAACCGTTCGATCCCCCGGCTCCTGCTGGAGCGTCCTTCAGCGAGATATCGAACCCTAAGTTGTTCCCGATGGCAGGCGAAAAATGATCTACATTAACAGCTCAGTAACAACTCCCTTAACTGTCAAAAGTCAGATTACTGCACTCTTTTGACCTAATAGTTTGAAGACATGTCTGAAAAACTGTGAAGAAGTAGTTTAAAATCAGCGACACAGAGCTGCTGTTTTCTTTGTTTAGTGTTGGTTAGTTTGAAACAACGAGTTGCACAGGAACACTGAAGAGCCCAGATCACCTGGTAGGGACAGTTTGCTGAGGAATTGGTCACTACCAGGTGCTGTCCAGGGCAGGGACTTTTTCAAAAGGAGGAAACATGGCTGAAGAAGTGAATTTGAATCCTGCACCTACTGCTACTTTAAAACATTTACTTGACTCCAGGAATTACATGTGGTGGAAGGAGGCTATTGGAACCATCCATCCATCATCTATACACCGCTTAATCCTCACTGGGGTCGCGGGGGGCTGGAGTCTATCCCAGCCGACTTAGGGTGAAGGCAGGTTCACCTGGACAGGAAACCAGTCTATCACAGGGCTACACTTAGAGACAGACAACCAAGCACACTCACATTCACACCTACGGACAATTTAGAATCACCAATTACCCTCAATTTTTTTTTTGACTGTGTGGGAGGAGAAACGGGGAGAACATGCAAACTCCATGCAGAATGATCCCGGATGTCCTCACTGGGACGCAAACTGGCGACCTTCTTGCTGCGAGGCAACGGTGAGGTGTCCTCACCGGGACGCGAATCGGCAACCTTCTTGCTAACCACCGCGCCACCTTGCAGCTATTGGAAACATAACAAGTAAAATAATACAGTTCATTAACACATTAAATAGTGTCCCTTAAAACTTACCTGAACTAGTATTTCACTTAGTATTTGCAATGGAAAAATGTGCACATCAAAATCAAGATGTTTTCATGTCTTCCTTGTCAAACTCTGGTACCCACAGAGCAACCTGACTCTGTTGAGGCAGTTTCTCAGCTTATGCACAACCAAGTGTCTGTATCTCCAGTAGATTTGTGCAGTGCTCGATATTAGAAAGTTATCGCAATGCCCTGCCTTTTAAAATGATAATATTTTACTACCCATTTGATTAGACTGTGTGTTTGCATCGCTGGTCTTCTGCTCTCTGCAGGTATAATGGGCATGCCATCCGCTTTTTTGTTCTCTCATAAGCACACTGCAGCTTTCATGGTAACAAACCCAAAAGGCACGAGTGCAAAAACAAGTGCTCTTGCCGACTGTCCGTGGATTGTCCATAAAGTGGACACACAAAGCAAAATTTGGCATCAGGGTGAGACCAAGGACACCACAAAGCTGTCTGTAAAAGATACTTTACCTACACAGATCGAGGGAGCCAACGTGTACAACATGGCAAAGCATCTCAGGACAGACGTGCCAACTTGTTCAAAGTGTTTAAAGAGCGACGGGTCAGAGAATGTAGCAGAGTTACATCACACCCTCAAATATAACTCAGATAAGTGTGATTTATTCTGTGACAAGTTAAATAAGGACAGTTATAACTGTTAAACTGCGTCAGTGTGGAAAGCATCTCCACATGCAGCGTTCACATCGGTAACTTTAACTAACCACAAGCTGCTTAGAATCAGTTGCTCACCGGTATGCAGATCAGCAACCCCAGTTATCAACCATCAAATGAATTCCTGCAGAAAGAATGAAGGTGGGAGATTAAAATGTCCACTAAAGTGCTGCTGCCACTTATCTCTGAAAGGATTTAACCTTTTATAAGTGTGTCATGTGAAGGTGGAGAGACACGAAGCATGTAAAGAGCTGATTTTAATGAAGAGTTCCTCCTCAGGTCTGGTTGAATATTGACACAATGGTGCAGTTTGTACCTCCTGTTGCTTTAAGGCTTCCTTTCACAACCTCCACTGCCTTGTGTTGACAGTGTGAAACTGTTTTCCACGAATTTGAAATTCCATGCTGTGTCACCTGTTATTCCATAGCTTTACCTGATGTTTTATATTTTTTTTATTTAGCCTTGCTTCAATGTTGTTCTGGATATATTCAGGCAGGTAGCATACAAACACTAATCTTCTGCATCCATACAGTAAAACACACATCAAACTGAAGCCAGCTGGATATTGTTGGGTTTGTCATAGATGGTGACCCCAAGTTTGTTTATATACCAGATTATGAGCAGCTCTAAAGGCTTTATTAAACTTTATTTCACAAGTGTTGTATTACTTTTAAAAAATTGCGAAAAACATGTACGAAACACTTCCCATTCAAGTTTAATGTCTGATATGCAGGAGACTGAATCATTCCTGTTTCAGCCCTGTGCTCAGAGAAGTGGTTGCCGTTGGAGTGCCACTGAGTACATAAACCTTGTTCTTCGCTGTCCACCACACCGGCCGTACAAACTGTGTCTTCTAGATGTGCAGTTTTCGGGGCTTTAGCCTCCAGCTGATAATACAAAAACTCTCTGACGGCACTGAACACAGAGCGTCAACATTTGGCTACTGCTTTTCTTCTCACCATGTGCTTCATGCTAATCTTGCAAATCCTTCACTCTTTTTTGAGAACATCTTCTGTCCAACGGCATGCAGCTGCACAGTGAAGTTCCTGCAGTGGTCTGGAATCCAACTCTTCAACACGTTTCTCAGTATGGAGTCAATTGACTTTTTTATATTAGCTACGAGCACAAAAGATTCTTACACAAATCCCCTAGACGCTCTCAATAGACTCCACTGCTGAACGGGATCTTAGGTCGACAAAAGGTTAAGAC